AAAACACCGCATAACGTGGATGAACTTGGAGGACATTATGCTGAGTGAAATAAGTCAGTCACAAAAGGACAAATATTGTATTAGTCCGTTATTGTGAAAGTTAAGGAAAGGTTTATATATTGGAGGACATTTTCTTTGTTGGTTACCAGGGGTGGGAGGGAAGGGGAGGGAATGCTGTTAGATAGATAGAGATAAATATTGATTTGGGTGAAGAGAAGGGCAATGTACCAAATGTGAGTGACCAATATGGCAGCATTGAGGATGAGAAAGACAGAGAGAGTTACATGGGCAGTACAGACAACAAATATGAACCCCTTTGTAAATACAGTACTGAGTTGTCAATGAAAGCAAACATGGGTATAGGGACAGATAGATGGGTGAACAAGCTAAACAATTATGTATGTCTAAATGGAGAGTGTATCCAAGATCATATACAGGGTTGGCAGACAATGGGCCTCTCGAAGAGTATGAAGGGATGGACACTGGGAGGAGGTAACTATGGGGAGGAAGTAGGAGGGGAGCTGCTGCATTGTAAATTTTGGTCAATGACATGAGACAAAGTGTATGTGAACTGCTGTATGAAAAGTGAATTTACTCTGTAAATCTTCACCCAAATCCTAATTTAAAAAAAAAAAAAAAAAAAGGGGGTGGGGACAATGGATTGCTATATGCAAAAAATTTAAGTTGGACCCCTACCCCACACCATATACATAAGTTAACTATAAAGATGGACCAACAGTCTAAATATAGGACCCCAAACCATAAAACTTTTAGAAGAAAACATGGGTAACCTTCATGACCTTGAATTTGGTCATGAATTCTTGGATATAACACCAAAATCACAAGCACCAAGAGAAAAAAATTGATAAACTGAACTTCATCAAAAGTAAAAATTTTGACATTACCAATAAGGTAAAAAGACAGCCTATAGAATGGGAGGAAATACTTGGGAACCATACATCTGGCAGCTCAACAACAAAGTAACAACCCAACTGAAAAGTAGGGTAAGGACTTGACAAGAAATTTCTCCAAGTAAGATATACAAGTGGCCAATAAACACATGAAAAGATAGTCAACGCCCACTCATTAAGGAGCCCTTGTGGCACAGTGGTTAAAGCGCTCAGCTGTGAACCAAAAGGTCAGCAGCTTGAACCAACCAGCTACTCTTCTCTATGGAAGAAAAGTGTAGCAGCCTGCTTCTGTAAACATTTACGCCCTGGGAAATTTACGGGGTAGTTCTACTCTGTCCTGTAGCGTCAATATGACTCTGAATCAACTGGACAGCAGTGGTTTGACCGTCCTAGTCATTCAAAAAAACCAAAACCAAATACACTGCCGTGGTGTCGGATCCGACTCACAGCGACCCCTCTTTGGGTTTCTGAGGTGGTATCACTACAGAAGTAGATTGCCCAACCTTCCTTCCGAGGAGTGGCTGGTGGGTTTGAACCACCAGCCATCTGGTTAGAAGTCAAATGCCTTAGGCACTACGCCACCAGAGCTCCCGTCTAGTCATTAAGGAAACACAAATCAGAACTATAATGAAATACCACTTCGCACCTACTAGTTAAACAATTAATTGGGGGGAAAAAAACCAGAAAATTAGCACTGGTAAGGATGTGGAAAAATGGAATGGTGCCTCAAAAAGTTAAACGGAGTTACCATATGACCTAGCAATTCCACTTCTACGTATATACTTGTGGTGCAATTAATTACTTAATATGGCTCTTTTAGCCATGCATGGTCTTATAGTTCCCATACAGTATCTGGGTCAGACTATGCAAATCAAGTGCTTGTGGCCCACCAAGGGGATTGGACAGCTTGCTAACGCAAATAAGATAAGTGTATGAAATCCTGCAGGGATAGGACCATGCTAATAAGGTATATGGAACCCTAATGAAGGGACTGGTCAGTTCTGCCATCAGCTAGGCTTAAAAAGAGAGCCAATTCTGGAGCAGAAAGGGAATTTCACTATCACCAAGAAAGAAGAGCCAAGAGTAGAGCACATGTCTTTTGGATGTGGGGTGAATCTCCTAGACACAGGAGACAGAAAGGGGGCTGGCTGTAACACCAGAGATAGAGATAGCACAAGACAGTGAGAAGCAGTGGCAGAGAAATGGTAGCAGAACCAAGAGACTTGCACGAGAAGGCACAGAGGGCTTCCTGGCCCACAGAGCCAGCTCTGAGAACACCTTTGGACAGGAGGCTTGCTGGCAGACTGGGCACTTACTGGCAGAGTTTGAAACACCTGCCTGAGCATGGCATAGGCTGGACAGAGAGAGAGAGAGAGAGAGAGAGAGAGAGGGAGGCCTGCCTGTAGGCACAGCTGAGAAGGTGTCCTGACCAAAGAACTATATCCTAAGTCATTCTTGACCCTGAGTTGTAACCTGTTACTTTCCTAATAAACCACTTAACTTTGAGTATGGTCTGAGAGTTGTGTGTGGCCACTGCAAAAAATGATCAAACACAGCAGAGAAGTAGAGAGGGCTACAGAAGGGATGGCTGGTGTCAAAACTGGTATATAGGCTGAAGGGTGGGGGTATGTTTGACCTGCTCTTCATAGGAATCAACCTTGGGCTGATGCTGATGGTGATTCTTCCCACCTCATAAAGCTAGGAGACTTTTGATGCCACCATATCATTGTTTTTTACCATAATCAGAATTGGCAGCAGGGACACGAACAGATGCTTGTTCACCAATGTTCACTGAAGCATTACTCACAACAGCCAAAAGGGAGAAATAACCCAAGTATTCATCAACAGATGAATAGATAAATGAAATGGGGTCCATCCATACAATGGAGTATTACTCAGTCATAAAAAGGAATGGAGTACCGGTACATGCTACAATGAGGATGAACCCTGAAAACATTCTGCTGTGTGAAAGCAGTTAGTCACAAATGGCCACATATTGTGTGATCCACTTACAAGAGGCAAATGTGAACAGACAGAAAGGAGATTAGATATTACCAGGGGCTAGGGAAGAGGGGGATGAAGACTTACTGCTTAAGGGGCACTGAGTTTCTGGTTTGGGATGATGAAAAAGTTTTGGAACCAGCTAGTGGTGATGGCTCACAATATGGTGAACATAAAGCCACCAAACTGTATACAATATGGTTAAACTGGCAAATTTTGGGTTATGTACGTATTGCTATAATTTTTGAAAAAATCGTTCAAGGAATAGAGCAAGTGAAAAGTGAAAAGATAAATAATAAACTGATACATATATATTTACATATTTTGTTTTATATATATATGTTGTTACATGCCGTGAGTCAGCCCAGACTCAGAGAGACCCCTCCTTGGGTTTCCGAGGCAGTATCACTATGGAAGTAGATTGCCCAACCTTCCTTCCAAGGAGTGGCTGGTGGGTTTGAACCGCCAGCCTTCTGGTTAGCAGTCGAGTGCCTTAGCCACTATGCTACCAGAGCTCCTTATATATATATTTGTTGTTGTTGTTGTTATGTGCCGTCGAGTCGGCCCCGACTCATAGTGACCCCTCCTTGGGTTTCCGAGGCAGTATCACTAAGGAAGTAGGATTGCCCAACCTTCCTTCTGAGTTCTGGGTTTGAACCGCCAGCCATCTGGTTAGCAGGCAAGTGTCTTAGCCTGCTACCAGAGCTCATATATATATATATATATATATATATATATATATATACACACACACATATATATAAAATATATAAATATATATACCATTCCTATCACACATAAAGGTGAAATTCCTTAATATATAAAAAAACAGTTGCCATCCAGTCACTAAAAAGCTCCTACAAATCAATAAAAAAAGATCCAAGTAGAAAACCAGGCCAAAGAACAGACCTTTGGCTCTTTAACATGTGAAAGGGTGTTCCACCTCACATGTACTTCCGCCCACAGCTAAGCAAAGAAGAAACAGTTTAGGAAACACCTTTGCAAAGGCTATCAGGAAATGGGCACCTACATCTTCTTCTGGAGGGCAATTTGCAGTATTAGCAAAATTACAAATGCACTTTCTTGCACAGGGACAAGACCTACAAGGCTGTCCTTGTAAAACAAATCGCTTTGTCCAACACCGTTTAATCACAAAAGGCTTCCAAGGCTGTCATCTCTACGGGAGCAGATCACCAGGTCTTTTTTCCCGTGGGTTAGCTGGGTGGCTGGCTAGTTTGAATTGCTGACCTGTCGGTGAGTATTGTGCCACCAGGCACCACGCAAAAGACCTTTATGTCCCTAAGTAGGGGCCTGGCTAAATAATCATGGAATATCCAGACAAGGGAATACTGTGAGCTACTTTAAAAAAAAATAAAATTCTTTGTAGAATGAAGAGACAACCTCCAAAATTTAAGTTAAAAAAAAAAAAAAAGGTATAGAGCCTTATGCATACCATTTGCTGTGGTCCTCTTGGTATCCTCTGGGAAGGACGGGTATAGGGTGTTTTTCCTGTCTACCCTCCTGTACTTTATGAATTTCATACCGTTGACCTCTCCCCCCTCATGATCAAATTCTAAGTATATAAATAAAGGAGTCCCTGGGTAGCCCAACCAGTTAAGTACTTGACTACAAGCCGGAAGGCTGGTGGTTTGAATTCACCCAGAGGCAGCTAGGAAGGCCTGGTGACCTGCTCCCGAAAGGTCACAGTCTTGAAAACTCTATGGAGTAGTTCTACTCTGCACACCTGGGGCCGCCAGGGTCAGAACAGAACAGACTGATGGCAACTGACAAGTAAGTAAGTTAAAAAAAAAAAAAAAAAAAGACACCATGATGGCTGTTGGGTAGAACACAGACAGGAGGGGTCATGTGCAGTACCTGCATGAGGGGCGTGGCTGCAAGTGGGAAGTCAGAGACCAGGAGAGACAGGGGTCTTCTGGTCCCTGGAGCTGCATGGGTGACTGACAACCAAAGCTCGAGGGCTTTCTGGGTGAGCTCCAGGGGCCAGGAGCCTCTGGGGTCACCAGTGAAGATAGCACATGGCTGAGAACAAGTGGGCTCAGTGCCCCCTCCACACTCAGGTGCACTAACCTGGTTCCAAGCCGAGCTCGAGGTTCTCCTCCCGCACCACCTGCACCAGCATGGCCAGGAGCAGGAAGAAGAAGGCAAAGGTGAGGCAGACAGAGCGCTCACCACCCTCCTCCGCACTGAAGTAGAGCCGAGTCACTGTCAGGAACACCTTGCTGGTGGCAGAGCTAAGGAGGCCACTAGAGCCAAGGCGTGCCACCCCCATCACCCCCAGCACCAGATGGCCCTGACAGTGACAAGGGGAGTTGGGGCCCCGTCAGTGCCGGCCCCAGGAGAATGAACTAGGAGTGAAGAGAGGCTGAGAAGAGTGGATGGGTGGATGGGTGAGTGGGGTGGAGCATGGCATAGGTATGGCAGAAGGGCAGCATCAGGGGAGCAAACACTTGGGTTACAAAGCTTCCAGCTGGCCAATTACAAAAGGCCTCCCAGCCCTGCAGCCCCTCCCTCAAGGCAGTGTCTTTAGGTGCCCTCTGGCCCCCTGACCCATCATAGGCGAGTTCCTAGAGGGCATCCCAGCATCCCAAGCAAGCCTTGCACAGGCACTCTGCAGAGCTCCTACAGCTGAAGGGGCTGCCTCACCAATCTGGCCTCAGAGACCAGCGGTCTCTCAGGACCAGGGCAGGCTTCCTGACAAGTCTCCCTCCTAATGAGCCAACCCCACAAGGTGCTTCTTCTGAGTACCTCCCCTACCCCCGTCTACGTTGCTCTAACCAAGAGAACGGCGGGAGAGTAGGAGGTGAGGGGCTACCTCGAGGGGACCCTGCAGCATCCCCTCTTGCTTCCTTGGTGCCCAGGGCTGACGGGTGAGACCAACCTCCCACGGAGCAGAAAGGAGGCCTCCCAGCTGGGCCCTGCCCAGACCAAGACCCAGAGGAGCTAATCTAAGGGCTGCAAATCCAAGGGTTGCTGCTTCCAGGTTGGTGGCCCAGTGACTGAGGAGCACAGGACCCAGGTACCCTGCCCCCAGGCCCCACCCCAGGGAGCAGGAGGAAGGACACATGGAGAAGGCGACAGCCAGCAGGCACCAGCACACAGCGATGTTGGCCTCCCGGGCCGGGTGCAGCACATAGTAGTAGGCCTCGGTGAAAAGGTACACCCCGCCTGTGTACACAGCGAAGTCCACGAACCACTGGTACTCTAAGAAGAAGCGCAGGACTGGGAGAGGGGAGTACACGGCTCAGTGTGCACTGGGGGGGGGGGGGGGGAGGGGCGGGGGGGGGCTGCGGGGGGACAGGTAGGGCTGTTACCCAGCGCGTCCACTGCCGTGAGGGGGCAGGTCTCCAGCTGGAATGGGGCATCTCGGGGCACCGACAGCGGCTTCTCTTCACCCAGGCCATTGGCCCACCTGGAATGGGGAAGGGAGGGTCAGAGCAGCTCTACCCCACACACCCCACCAGTCAGCAAGGGCTGCCCACCTCACCCCATCCCAGTCTAGGAAGCTCTCTCTCCGTGCCCCCTCATCATGGAAAGCGCTGATTTGGAAGGACCTCGCCCACAGGGCTGCCCCCAGGAGCTTCCAACAACACTAGCTGCTAACATGAAGCACGAGGGGTTTCCTGATTCCCCTCTTTGCCCAGAGCCACGCCTTAGCATGTCGGGGGCCGCAGGAGTCCGGGGTTGGGCGCACTCACCGCTCCCTCTTGCCTCTGGGTCTCTGCTTCCCAGCCAGCGCCCGGAGCTCCTCCTCAGACGGGTGCATGTATCGGAACAAACTGAGGGCGAGACAGACAGCAGAAGCTTGTGGGGGCGGAAGGGCTCAGGACAAAGATCCCCAATTCAGGACTGGGGTTAGAGGGGGAGGGGTGGGCAAGAGCTCCCAAGGTCCGGGAGATGTATAGTGGGAGGGGGGGTAGCGAGGAGTGGGCGAGGCCTCGGCAGACCAGGGCTAGGGTCCTGGACACCCAAAACTGCCAACTCTCCCGGGGGAGCAGGCAGGCACCAACCTCTGGAAAGAGAGGTCATAGTTTCTGCCAGGTTCTCAGAAAGGGTCCAAGACCCAAACTAGGACAAAAAGTAGGGGTCAAATCTGCGGTGATGGAGGGAGGTATGTGGCTGGTGGGTGGGGCTATCCGGGTTCTGATGGATCCGCCCACTACAGGCTCCGCCCACTCCCTCTTCCCGGCCCCGCCCCCTGGACCCTTACACCTTCCCCCCTCACCTGCCATTGCAGAGCAGCCAGCGCGCGAAGGAGCAGTGCGCAGCCATCCTGTGCATGAGGGTGGCTGTAAGCAGGGTCACTACCAGCTGCACTCCGAGCACCGCCTGCGAACGACACCGTGGACATGGTCCCAGCAGTCACCAATTCCCCTCCCCCTCCCTCGAGCTGGGCGTGCAACATGACCAGGCTATTTATAGAGAAGCCAGATTGGTGTGGGGGAGGCTGTCCAGTTAGCCTGCCCCGGCCATTTCTGGGAGGGGAATATGGGCTGGGGAACCCCAGACGCACTACAGCCCACCTGGGAGCCCCTGCTGGACGCATCCGCACCTAGTCGGCCCTGCCTCCCCAGGCCTCACCCTCAGCTCACCCTAACCGACGACACCCAGCGTCAGTTAAGAGGACCAGATCCTCACCCTCTCGGGGCCAGACAGGGGTTCAAACTCTTTCAAAACCTACGGCCTCTGCTAGGGGTTTTGAGTATTAACCTCTCTGATGAGCCTCAATTTCCTCATCTGAAAATGGAGTCGTTCCTGTTTTGTTCATTCACTGATCAGGACCACCTATGGACCCCTAATACGCCCAGCATGTGGCAGACGTTCAGAGCAGTTGTCTCCCACCCTGGCCCCTGTCCACGAAGACCCACGGAGTCTCCCTTAAGCTCTCAGCATCAATGTTTCGCTTCGCCCCTTCCTCACCCTGCAGAGCCATCATTGACCTCTTCTCCTCCCTTGCAATCAGCCTCCCTAAGAGCCAGCCTCACCACCCGTTTCAGGCAAAGACTTAAGTGACTGAGTGTAATGAATGTTTTCATTAGGCATTTTTTCACCGTGGTAACAATAATTCCGTCTGCCTCCGCATCTTTCCGAACCTTCCAACCATGTCCCTCCTCAGCTCAAAGCCTGCACCTACCTGCCTCAAACCCAGAACCTGCTAAGATCAGCTACAAGTTCCCGCGCCCCGTTCCCAGGGCCCCGCCCCGCCCCTCCTCCAGCATCTCGCACCCTGGCACGCCGGCCTGGAACGACTCCCCATCTTTCACCACCCCCTCCATCAATGCCCGTACTTCAAGGCCACCTCCAATGCCCCTCCTCGGGGCCCATCGCCCAGGCAGAGCCAGGCCTTCTCGCCCGCCTCTGGTCCCCATCCTCCCCTGGACCAGGCCGGAACCCAAGGGGCTGAGGTCTCCTCGCCCTCCTCCGGCACCAGCCTGAACCACAGGTGCCAAGTTTGAAGAATAAACTCAATGGGTTCCAGCCAGAGCCGCCTGAGACCTGGGGTTCCGGCTGTGCTGTGTCCGAACCTGAGACCCTGGTCCACCCTGGGGCCACCCAGACCCCTGGCCTGCTCCCCCAGGATTCCTCCTGGCCCTTCAGCACATCCCGATACCCGCAGTGCCTCCCAGAGCTTTCAGGGCGTCCCAAAGGACCCCATCGGCGCGGCTCTCACACTCCATTGGGACCCCGACTCCAAGAGGACGCCAGGCCCCCTCGAGAGGCTCCGAATGTGCTCAAGTTCCTCGTCCCCTCCGTGGGACCCCACGACCCCCCAGCAAGACCCTAGGCCCTCCAAAGTTTACCCAGAGACTCGCCAGGACCCCCAGGACTTTTGGGGACTTCTAGTCTCCGCAGTGAGACCTCAGATCCAGAGGGACCCACGGACCTCTCGGTGCGACCCCGACCCTCAGCGCCCCTAGCCCCCTCAGAGGGACCCCGTCCGCGGGACCCCATCCCGTGCAGCCCACCGCCCGAGACCCTGGCTCACCATGGCGGCGGCGGGGAGCACAGTGCGCGAACCACAGAGTTCGGGGCATTTCGTGGAGTCCGGATCAATCAGAGCCCGACTTCGTCCTGATGAGCAGGCCGCGCCACCAATCAGCAGGCTGAGAATCGGGGCGAGTCACGAGGAACAAGGTCTCGCTCTCTCCGCGCGGCGCATTCAGGGAACTGTAGTTCCAGGATGCCTGGCAGGTGAGGACCGCGGTTCGAAGCCGGATTGTGCTTGGGTAGCAATGGGAGGCCCTGAACCAAAAGCCTGCCCCTCTCTGAGACTCGGTTTTCTCACCTGCACCTACCTACCTCACAGTTCTACAGCGAAAACATTCATACAGCTACATACTGTCTCCTATAGAATAGTTCCGAACTTGGAACGCTCATGATCAAGAACAAGCAATGGCTCCCACGGACTGGACTCCTAAGTGCTCAAACTAAATTCAAGCACCACTGCTTGACTTAAACCTACCATCAGCACTATTGTACACTTTATTGTGCAGCTTGCCATCAGCCACGCTATCTCATACCTTCAGGGGTTTGTAAACATGCTGTCCTTACATCTTGAGATGCCTCCTTTCTCAGTCTGTTCTACCTGGCAAAAGCCTTATTCATCTCTACCAGCCAGGACTCTGTAGCTGCAAGTCGTAAAGCATCCAACTCAAATGGGCTCAAGCAAAAAAGGGAAAACTCTATAGAGGAAGTTCCACCTTCAGGCACAACTCGATCAAGGATCAAATGTCAGCCTCAGGTATTTCACAACTTAAGAAGCTCTGGTGGTGCAATGCCTAAGGCATTTGACTGCTAACCAGATAGTTGATGGTTCAAACCTACCAGCCACTATGCTGAAGAAAGGCAAGGCTATCTACTTCTGTAAACATTTGCCACCTCAGAAACTCAATGGGGGTCACTATGAGTCAGAATCGACTCCATGGCAGTGGGTTCTTTCAAGTTTGGAGGAAGGGGTTTCTAGCATTTGAGTTTTTCCATCTGTGTTTGTATGGGTGAGTGTGGACATATGGGTGTAGCTGGGTCTCTGAGGAGCCCTGGTGACACAGTGTTTAAGTGCTCAGCTGCTAATCAAAAGGTTGGCAATTCAAACCCATAAGCTGCTCCACAGGAGAAAGATGAGGCAATCTGCTTCCACAAAGACTTACAGCTTCCAAAAACCTATGAGGTGGTTCTACTCTCTTCTACAGGATTGCTATGAGTCTAGGTTGACTTGACAGCAAAAAATTTCATGTAGCTAGGTCTCTGAGGGTCTTTATGGGGATGGGTGCCTGTAAGTGGGGCCCATGTCGTTGCTGTGCCTTGTCTCTGAAGGGTGACTTTGCCTCTGTTCATGAGCGCATGCAGATGCTTCTGTTTGCAGGACATTTACTGTATCTGAGTCCCTATGTGTCTGGGAGATAGACATGCCTCCCAGGAGACCCAGGCATAGGTCCTCTGGACCAGAGTGTCCTTTTTAAATAATAATAATAATAATAATTTATTGTGATTTGGGTAAACATTTACAGAGCAGAGTGTCTTCTTAAGAGAGGATAGGTGACTGGCAATGACAGTCTCTGGGATTGTCAGGGACCACAAGATATCCCTCAGGGACAAGGCATACAGGTTGGATTAAAGGAAACTGGGATTTGGGAAGGGGACCCTGAGAAAAGGGGGTGAGTGTGCTGGTTAAAAGGAAGCAGGAAAGAAGGAAGATTTAGAGAGCATTTGCTGCAGGCCCACTGTGCAGCAGACAGCTCATGTGCTGTCTCCAGCAGGTGTGGGGGGTGGGGGAATCACCTTTCTTCCAAGATGCCTCTGGGTGGATTTGAACCTTCAACCTTATGATTAACAGCCCAGCATGTTCACCGTGTGCTTCACCCAGGGACTCCATTGAGTCTCTGAGGAGCCCAAATCTCCACCTGACACCTTAACCTCTATAATTCATGATTCCAGCTGCACCACAGCACCCCTATGTAGATGTCCCATAGATAATTCACATGCATACAGGCCCCACTGAGCAACACATCCTCTCTCTGATCACCTCCACTCCTCCCTGCCTAAGAAAACAGCAGCTCCATCCTTCCAGGAGCTCAGCCACAAACTCTGAAGTCAGCTCAATACCTCCTTCACACTCCCATCCCTCATCTGGTCCATCAGTACCTCATTATGACTCCCCAACCCAAGGGGAGCAAAAGTCCAACTCGGTCTTCTCTTGTCCAGCCACCATCATCACTGCCAGCGGTCTCCTCCTCCTTGGGTCTCTGGCTTTCAGTGCCCTCCCCATCCCCACAGTGGGCTTCCCCTGAGCAGAGGGCACATGAGCAGAGGCTCAGAACGCTCCATGACTCCCAAGTCCCTCAGGGCAAAAGGCAATGTCATGCGTTCTACAGTGGAAGTACCATCAACTCTACCTCTTGCTGTTTGTTTCTCCAACATGTCTGGTTTACATTAGAACCACTCCCCTTCCCTGTTCTACACTGAACACACACACACCCCACTTCACCCTCTCATTGGATGTGCCATATTGCATGCTCTATGTTGGAGCTCTGGTAGCATAGTGCCTAAAGCACTTGACTGCTAACCAGAAGGCTAGTGGTTCAAACCCACCAGCCACTCCTCGGAAGGAAGATTGGGCAATCTATTTCCATAGTGATACTGCTCGGAAACTCAAAGAAGGGTCACTTTGAGTCAGGTCTGACTCAATGGCAAATAACAATAACAACAATGTTGGACATGTCTTATTCTCTATTCTCCATTGGGCAAATCCACATTCTTTATTCCACACTGAGTATCCCAGGTTCCCTCCTCCTCACTAGGTGTTCCCTGTCTGTCCCACATCCTCTGACCTACATCACTCTTATTCAACATTCTGGACCGTCCCACCATAGCTATTTGTGGTGGTTCTGAAAACACAAGGTATAGGGTAGTGCAAACAGTTTGTGTTCAACTGCTAACTGAAAGGTTGATGGTTCAAACTCACCTAGCGGTGCTGTGGAACAAAGGTGTGGCAATCTGCTTCCATTAAGGTTACAGCCCAGAAAACCCTATGAAGCCCAGTTCTACCCTGTAACACATGGGGTTCCTGTGGGTTGGAATCTACTCCAGAACAACAGATCCCGTCCCCGGCCTGCCCTGCTGAAAAGACATCTGTGCTGTGGAATGACTTCATATGGCTCTTCGAGCTATAGTCTTTGTGACTCCCGCCAGATGACTGGGTGGGACCACACCAATGTGAGGTGCTTGTGGCCCCCCAAAAGGGATTGGATAGCTTCTTCTTGTTAGGTGCCGTCGAGTCAGCTCCAACTCACAGCGACCCTAAGTACAGCAGAATGAAATCCTGTCCAGTCCTGCACCATCCTCACAATCCTTGCTACACTTGAGCCCACCATTGCAGCCACTGTGCCAATTCATCTTGTTGAGGGTCTCTCTTTTTTTTGCTGACCCTCTGCTTTACCAAGCATGATATCCTTCTCCAGGGAATAGTTCTTCCTGACAACATGACCAAAGCAGGTGAGATAAAGTCTAGCCATTCTTGCTTCCAAGGAGCATTCTAGGTGCACTTCATCCAGGACAGATTTGTTAGCTTCTTAGTAAAGTAAGTAAGGTACATGGCACTCTTGTGGGGGTGTTGTTGTTGTTGTTGTTATGTGCCGTCGAGTCGGACCTGACTCATAGTGACCCCTCCTTGGGTTACCGAGGTAGTATCACTATGGAAGTAGATTGCCCAACCTTCCTTCTGAGGAGTGGCTGGTGGGTTTGAACTGCCAGCCTTCTGGTTAGCAGTCAAGTGCCTTAGGCACTATGCTACCAGAGCTCCTCTTGTGGGGGTGGAACTATGCAAATAAGGTGTATGGAAGACTAACATGGGATTGGTCAGTTTTACCATCCCACTAGGCTTAAAGTGAGCTGGAAAGTGATCACCACCATCAAGAAAGAAGAGCTAGGAGTGGAGCACGTCCCTGGGACCTGAATCCCTGCACTGAGCCAGCGGCAGCAGAACCAGGAGACTGGCATGAGACAGATCAACAGAGCAGTAGGCTTTCCAGCCCATGGAACGAAAGAGCTGAGTGCCTTCAGGCAGGGGGCTTGCGGGCAGATGCCTTTCTGGGCATCTATTCAGCAAGCTAGAAGAGCTTTCTAACTCTGGCCTGAGCAGGGCAGAGGCCAAGGCCAGAGGGAAGTGTGCCTGTGGCACTTGAGAAGCTGTCCTGAGTGAAGAACTGTATCCTGAGTTGTGATCTATGATTTTCCTAATAAATCCCATAATGGTCAATATTGTCTGTGAGTTCTGTGTGGCTAGTGAAACAAATGATCAAACTCAGCAGAAAAGTAGAGAGTGCCGTGGGAAGGATGGTTGGGGCCAGAATTGGTAAGAATGGTTGGAGGAGGGTGGCATGGCTGACCTCTGTCTCATTGGCTGATGCTGCTGATTCTCCGTAGAGGTAACGCCTGGGAAACCCAAGAAGTTGCTATGAGTTCGCTCCGACTCAACCGGCAGTGAGTTTGGTTTTGTGAAACTAGAGGGCAGATGCCGCCACCCCAGACGCTTTTTGCAACATCTCTCAGCTCTCTGATGGACGCCCAGTGGCTGCACCATGACCCCCACCACTGCATTTGTGAGGAGGTCGTGCTTCTACGAGGGCTTCCCACCAGTGACTCAACTCCTGACAGAGCCAGGCCTGCCTGGCGCCTGGCTGACAGCTGTATCCTTAGAACAGCTTGACGACAGGGTGCTTCCACCCAAACGTCCATTCTCTCTCGTTCAAGGGCAGACCCACAGAGCCAGCCAGGGCAGAGCAGGGGTCTAATCCCAGAGATGTTCTCAGCCCAGATCACCCAGAGATGTACACATACTATTACACAAGGAATCCTCTGGGTTCCCAGGCTCACAGCCTGAATATCTGGGGTGGGTCCCAGATGGATTTTGTTTTGTTACTTGTGTTATCTTTTTGTTTTGCTTCTTGATGGGGAGCTCTGAAACCAAAGCACGCTGTTAAGCGCCATCTAGTGGTAAAAGGCGTAAGTGCAGCCTCCCAGGGAAGGGAAAGCAAAACCACCCCCACCCGCCCTGGGTACCCCCAGGTATGTAAAGCAGCCTGCCAACGTACCAACCACACACTGAGCGTTTAGCTTGTGAGTACTGACTACAGAGAAGGGTCTCGCTTCCTGTCCACTGAGGGGGTGAGATCCAGGATCTAGGAGACCCTAGTCATTCCTCAATTTCCCCAGGGGACCAGTCCCCTTAGCCGCTCTTTTCCTCCTCCTCCATCCCCACACCTGTGTCTGAGTGCATAGAGTTCTAGGACTACCTTTGATACCGCAGGGGCCACCAGGCGGGCAGCTTTGCTCCCGTGTGGATGGCCAGGGTCCTTGTGACCAGGTGTCCCAAGAAAAGTGACCTGGGTGGAGAATTTGCACATGTGGGGGGGATCAGCCATGTGCATGCCACAACAGTGCCTACCGTGGCAGGTGACAGGGGATGCATGTGTGGCTGAACCCTGTGTCCACTGTTTGTGGGGGGACAGTAGCTCACCCCTCTTTGAGTAGGCTAGAAGGGAAGGTGGGTAGGATTTAGGACCGCAGTCTAAGCTGGGTAACAGATCTTTTATAACTCACACACGCAGAGGCCTTGCTTTCCCCCGAAACGGCCCCTTTCTGCAGGCTTCCCCAGCGTGGAAAGTAGAAAGGGGGCATTTCCAGGAGTGCAGGTCAGAGAGCTGGAGTCTCCCAGGATGCCCCCACCTTTGAGCCACCCACGGGGCATCATGGATCTGCCTCAAACGCATTCACAAAACTCCACTCTGCCAGCACAGGCCCCTCCAACCTCCCAGGACCCCATGACGCTCCCAACTCTGTCCTTCCAAGTCCCTCCTCTGCAGGGAGCCCAGAGGAGGAAGGGAGCCTTTTACAAACCAAGTCAGACCAAGTCCTTCCTTCTGGACACTGGGGTCCCAAGCCCTGACTTTCTTGGGAGGGGGGAGTCTCCGAAGAGACCACGTGGATAGCATGACTATGGCAAGTGGACTGCGCTCAATACACCATGGCCAAATGAGTGTCCCCGCCCATTAAAAATAGTTTTTCATCCTGCACACTTTGGCTCCTCCCAGAAGTCCATCCCAGAAGCCTAGGCTGAGGGTGCTTCGGGGGAGGGATTAAATTCCAGAGGTGCCGTCACGGATTTCTAGGCTCCCTTTTGCTCCTCCCCTCTGTAGCCCCGCTCAGTCTGTGCGCACTAACGGTGGAATGCGAGGCTTTGGTTTTCCTGAAGCAACTCCTCGGTGGCGTGTGGGGGTGACAAGTCGAGATCTGAAGGGCTGCCAGTCAGCTCCCTGGCGGTGGACAGGGCCCACATTGCTCCTTCCGGTAGGGACTCTCACACTGTGTTCCAACGTCAGTGGAGTTGTCAGTTAAAATGCCCCGCCCACCTCTGGCAGAGCTGGATCCCGCCGACCGGGCAAGCGGGGGCAGGATCTTATAAGCACTGACGTCAAACCTCTTATTTTCCACTTTCCTGTCCAAATTTGTGATGTCTGCTCCTTGTCTGCTTACTTTAGCAGTCAGTCATCTCTCTGAGGCAGTACGGAGGGCTTCCTAGAGGAGGCTGCACGGAGCTGAGCCGGAGGGGGCGGAGCTGGGCCGGATTGGGTGGGATAGGAAAACTTAAAAAGAAGGCGAGTTCGGGGTTGAGGAAGGTAGTCCAGGAAGAAAGACCAGCAACTGCATGGCTCTTGCGTTGGCGCTGCAAGAAGTTGATGGTGGCTTAGAGCGGAGGGCGCGGACACACTTGGCGGGGGTGGGGGTAGGGGTGCAGCTGGGGGAGGTCTACTTTCTCCCTAGGACGAGCCAAGGAAGACTCACTAAGGCTACTTTGGGGGGAGAGCGGAAGACGGACACGCACCCGGCACCGCGGCTCTTTGCTCCTGGTGCTCTGGGGCTCCCAGATCCCTGACTCCGCCCACACTCAAGGGCAGGCTAGAGTGAGGGGGTTAATTAAGGCACCTAGCCCCTAGCCCCTCACCCCTCGGGCCGCCCACCCCACAATGCCTGTCTCCCAGAGCCCCCCAGCGGTCTGTCCATGGGGTAGCCTGCGTGAGATCTCTGCATCTCTCTTTCCTACACACTAACGGCCTTCCTAAGGTCACCTCTCAGATACCCCACAGGCCTTCAAGTCTCAGGGTCAGATGAAGGGGGGGAACCCAAAGCCAGGTAGGTGCTGGAGAGAGGGCTGGACTCTGGGCGGCGACAGGTACAGTCTGCTCCACTGATGCCGCGCCTGTTTTATTGGTGGACAGACACACAGAAAGGGGGGAAGGCAAGCCCGCGATGGTGGATGAATCCAGCCCCCCGTGCCCAGCACGCGGAGAGAGCCTCACGGCTGGATCATTTCTGACGAGGCCTGGCGGCAGGGGTCCCACGTCCTTCGCCCATCCCGCGTGGGTGCCCGGCCCACCCGGCCCTACCGAGGCCAGCCGTCCCCCGAGGGCAGCCGACGCAGGGGGGGCCCGGGTCGTAGCGGTTCTGCCAGGGGCCGGGCCAAGAGCAGTGGGAAGGGGAAGGTCTTGGGAAAGTCGCCGGGGCCCCCGGGGGCCGGCGAGACGCGCTCGGACTTGACGCTGACTGGGAGATTCGGCGGGGAGGCGCCGCGGGCGGGGGCGCCCTCCTCACCCAGGCCGCGTCCTGCGCTGCACGGGGAGAGAGAAAAGGACATGAGCTTAGCGAGACTGGAAGGGAGGGGGGCCAGGCTCGGCCAGGGGACCCTGGGAAAGGAGGAGGCGGCGGCCCTCCTGGGGCCTCCAAAATAGCCGCCCACCCATCCAGGGAGAGGCGGGAGGGGCTTGCGGTACCAGGAATGGCCACTGGAGGGCAGCAGAGCCTGGGGTTTCCGAGGACCCAGAGGGGCCCTACCCAGGGCCCGACTCTGAAGAGGGAAACAGCTAGGATGCTTACCTGGGCTGGGTGGTGGCGGCAGTGGGTCCATCCCCTCTCGAGGGCTGCCAGGGGGCCAGGGCAGGGGGCTGCAGCAAGCCAGGGGGCGGTGGGGGGTCTCCCAGACCATATTCTGGGGGGCAGAAGGGGTAGACTGAGTCCTGGGCTTCAGAGAAATGTTGGCCCAAGCCTAACCCATCTGATCAGCCAATTTTTAGTCTCAGTGGATGAGGGAGTGTGGACCCCAGCAGGCAGGTATGTAGATGCCTCTCCCACAACACAGCAGGATGGTGGTGCATACCTGGAGGACCAGCTGGAAGGAAGGGAAAGCCACCAAGTGGGGGTCCAGGGGCTACACCTGAGCACGGGCTCTGCAGGCTGCTGTAGAGGCCTCTCTGTGGGGAGAGCAGGTGAGGAGGACGCTGAGGCACATACCCAGGCTATCTGCCCTGGTGGCCCACTCTGCCTTCCCCTTCACTCACCGAGGTGCTCAGCCCTCCACAGCCCCCAGCCAAGCCCCCAGGCAGGTCTGGCCTACGGCTCTCTGCTGCCAGGTACAGGGGGGGTGGTGTCTTGCTGGTGAGGTGGCTCCGGGAGAATAGAGGATGCACCAGGCCTGGGGGAGGGGAGACCCCCAGAGAGAGGACTGTGAGGTCCAGCCAGACTGCACCAGTGCCAAGATGTACCTGACCACCCACGAAACTCTGCAGGGCCTCAGGGCCCATTGCCCATACTCACCTGCAGGCCCAGCTTTGGGTGCTGCTGGCCGGAAGGGGGACGGGTGGCTTTGGGCAGGCAGGGCCTCTCCGAGTCCATTGGGGTCACAGGCCGGTGGGGGCAAGGCCCCATACACCATGTCTGGGCTGGGCATAGCTGGGGCTGCTGGCTATGGGCAGAGAGAGGAAGGACTGGTCAGCTGGGTGGGTGGAAGGATGAGCGGGGGGACCAAAGCCTAGGGACAAAGTCCCAAGGAGCTCAGGGACCGACATCTACCATCAGCATGCCTGGCTGCCTCTCCCTCTGGGCTCCCCACACCCTTCCCTCAGTTCTATACCAAACCCCACAGGGCTACAGAAGCCTGGGTCTAGCTGTCTCAACAACTAAACCCAGAGCAGAGGCTGCTCATTCAGCATGGGATGGGCACCAACAGGGCTGCTTGGGATGTTTGACAAATCAAAGCAACAAAGAAAAAACTGATTACCTACCCAACTCTTAATCATTCTTCAAAGCCCCTGCTACAGTGCCCACTCCTCAAGGAAACCTTCCCTACCTACCCATACCCAAACTCTAGGCTCCTCTGGCCCAGGGTCTGTCCCTCAGTCTCAAACCTCAACCACTGGGTCTAGGAACCTCAATCACGGTGGAGCAGAAGTCACTTACGTAAAGGCGGGGTCGGGGCAGGGCTGGATTGCCGCCGTCACCCGCCAGCCTCCGCAGCTTTTCTCCTGGCCCATCAGACCCCTCGTCTTGCTCCAGCTCTGGCCCATCAAGGCCCACACCCCTCCGCTTCAGTGTCTGTGGGCACAGAAGACAATGGAGTAGACCCTCAACCCCCTAGCCAGGAACTGATTCTGTGAGACCTTAGCCACCCAGCTCTGTGGGCAAGGTGGAGTGCAAGTACAGCATGCTCCAGCCTAACCCCATTGACCAAAATCCCAGTGAGTTACCATCCAGTAAGTTCCAACTGGAGGGGAAGTGGTGCAGTGGTTTAAGCATTAAGCAGCTAACCAAAAAGTTTGCTAACTCACCAGCTGCTCTGCAGGAGAAAGATGTGGCTGTCTTTGTCCATAAAGATTTACAGCCTTGGAAACCTTATGAGGCAGTTTTACTCTGTGCTATATGGTCGTTATGAGTCAGAATAGACAAAATGGCAATAAGTTTGAGTTTGTTTGTTTGAAGTTCCAATTGTATGGTGGGTACAAGGTAGGCATAATTTGCTCCAGGCAAAAACCCCAGTTGAGTTACCATGTATGGAATTCCAACTGTGTGCCAGGCACTGTGATAAAGGAAGGGAGAGACTGTCCCTCCCTGGGAACAGAGAGGACAATAGACCTGCCAAGGTCACACAGCAGGGGCTGAGGTCCACCCTGGCCTGCTGGCTCTTGTTCAAATACTGCTCGTGAGCATGACTCAGGGACCTCCATTCCACCCACACATGCAGCCAGAGGGCCCAACATGCAGCAGGTGCTTAATAAATGTTGGCAGAATGAGGGCTGAGGAAGACTTCACAGCCTCTCCTGCATGGCCTCCTAGGTACTGCCGGCCCACATCCTCCCCGTGCCTCCCAGACACTGAGGGTCCTGGGATGCAGCCCTGGCCCGAGTCCAGCTTCCGCATTGCAGGTGAACATTCTACTTCACAGAATGCTAACTCTGCCCACCTGAGCTGCTGTGGGACTGAGCCAGCTGGTGCCAGGGCCACTTTCTCCAAGGACACCTGGACTCAGAACGCTCCCGAGGTCCCAGATGGCCTGCTCCATCTCTGTCTCCCTCAGTCTCTCCCTGCTTCTCTTTTTCTCTATGTACAGATGAGACAGCCAAGCCCTAGAGAGACAATCTCAAGGAGCTCAGGCCCCCCCTCCCTGTCTGCATGTCTGTCTGCGCCTCAGCTCTGCCTCTCCATCTCTTCCTCGGTCTCTCTCTCTCCCCCCTGTGTCTCTCTCCTCTCTGTCTCTCTCTCTCTGTTTTTTTTTTCCTCTCTCTCCTGTTTCTGCTGTTCCATGTCTATCTTAGCCTGTCTCTCTTAGTCTCCGCCTCTCCCTCCCTCTCTATTTCTTCCTCTCCATCTCTCTTCTTCTCTCTGCCTCTATCTTTCTCTCTCTCTTCCCTTCTGTCTCTGACTCCCCCTCTCTCCCTGTCTCCTTCTTTCTCTCTTACTTATTTATCCCAACAGTAGTCTAACAGCACACATCCTGGTAGTGGACCATGGGAACCTCAGCCTACACGACCCTGAGACCAGAAAAACTAGATGGTGGTGCCTGGCTACCACTGCCAACCACTTGGAAAGGGATCAAAATTGGAGCTCCTGGATAGAGTGGGAGGAAAATATAGAACAAAACTCAAAATCATAAAAAAAAAGACCAGGCTTACTGGTCTGATAGAGAGTGGTGAAACCCTTAGATGATGGCTTCTAGTTACCCTTTGGGCCTGGAATTGAACTCACTCTCAGCCAAACAAGAGACAGGCCTACAAGGTGAACAATTAGACCAGGGAGGTGCACTCTTTAGAACAATCAACCATGGGAGATCAGAAAGGCAGCATTTGCACAGGGAGAAAGTCCAGCGGGCAGGAATGCACAGGAAAGAAGGACACAGGGAAAAGGTAACCACAGGGAGGAAGTGGGAAGAGAGCTGTTACATTGTCAGGATTGTAATCAATGAAAAATGTCACAAAACAAAATATATATGAGCTGTTGAATGGAAAATGAATTAGCTTTATAAATTTTCACCCAAATTACAATATAAAGGCTTTTTTCAAAAATTAAAAAAAAGAGCACACATTCTGGAGACAGACCTGGGTTCTAATTCTGCCTCCTCCACATACTTGCTATGTAACCTTGGCAAGTGGTAAGAACTCCTCTGAGCCTCCTGTCCCTGCCTGCAGATGGTGCTGACCAACTGCTCACCAAAATGGCACAATGTATGTGCCACAGCAGCTGACGTTCTTCATGTACACTGTCTAGGCAGCTGCCCTTGAAGGGCCCTCTGCACCCCCAAGCCTGCTTTTACCAGACTCAATGCCCACCAGACATGTGTGCAAACCAGGAGTCAACGGACTTGGCCCATGCAGTGTGTGCTGGGCCACGTGGGCAGGAGGGAGCCTGGGTACCTCGAGGATGTCCGTGTTGGTGCGGCTCTCGTGGGGCTCGCTGTACTCCGTGTACTTCAGCAGCACGCGATCCATGTCTGTGCTAGCATACTGAAAGAGGCGGTTGGCGCTATTGAAGATGATGAGGGCAATCTCACAGTCACAGAGCACGCTCAGCTCGTAGGCCTTCTTCATCAGCCCAAACTTCCGCTTGGTGAACGTCACCTGGACCCACAGGCAAGAGTGGGAGGAGACATGAATTTGGCATGGGATGAGGGAGGCGGGGGGCCTTAGCATTCCCTGAACATGCCTGTGCCTCTGCTATACTGTTTTTCTGTCTGCACTTTCTAATGGCTCAACCTGGCAAACTCCTATTCATGCTTCAAAATCCAGCCCAAACTGTCCACTCCTTTGGGATGCTTTCCTTGTTCTCCCAGGCAGGGCCCACACTCCCTCTCTGGGCTTCCCCAGCCCTGAGCCTTACTCTGGCCCATGGGGTTGGGTGTGACTATGTCCAGCTCCATCTCACTTATGCCTGGGGCTCCCATCATCAGAGAGAATAAATGAGTAAATTACCATGAAAATGAGCAGATGCTAAATCTCAAACCCTTGATGCAGGATCCAAACTCCTCCTTTTCCTCATTTCCTGAGTTCTAACCATGACTTTTACTTGAAGGTCTCCAAAACGGCCAAGCCTCTGTCCAGGTGGCGCCTCATGCTAGGCAGGCCATTTCCCTAACCCACTGCTCCCCACCTCCAGGAACTGACCTGCCGGTTCCTTTGGTCGAGAATGCGTGAGATCTGGATTTTTTTCCTCCCCATTGTCCCAGGCTGGATGGTGCAACCTTGGTGGGAGAGAGGACGGTGTGCAGGGTCAACAGTGGGGCCAGGAACTCCAGCCACCCTTCTGTCCTCTGCTGGCCCCCAACAGACCCTAGCCAGGCACTGGGTGGGAGATAAAGGGGGAAGCACCCAGGTCTTCTCTGGGGACCATGGCATCCTCTGCCCCAGCCCAGCCCAAGGGGGCAGAAATGCTCAATAGACACTCTCGGACCAATTCTATGGGAAGAGAAGGTGGCCTGGGGGCAAAACCACAAGGTGTGGACGGACTCCACTCCGGAAACCACAGCCCTCAGGCCACCTAACCTTCTTTGGCCTCAGTTTCACCTTGTGCACAGTGGGGACAGTGACAGGACCCACTCCTCAATGCTGTCAAGAGACGAAATGAGTTAACCTTGAAAGCAGGGACTCAAACAGATGCTTGCACGACCATGTTCACTGCAGCACTATTCACAGCAACCAAAAGGTGGAAACAATACACATGTGCACCAGGAGATGGAGAAACACAGTGTGGTCCTTCCACACAATGGAGTATTACCCAGCCATAAAGAAAAATGAAACTCTGATACATGCTACAACCTGGATGAACCTTGAAAATATCAGCTTTAGACACAAAAACCAAGATTCCATTTGTCTGAAGTACTGAGAATGGTATTTTCAATCACCTCATACGCACGTGAAAGCTGGACAATGAATAAAGACCGAAAAAGAGTTGATGCCTTTGAGTTGTGATGTTGGCGAAGAATACTGAAAATACCATGGACTGCCAGAAGAATGATCAAATCTGTCCCAGAAGCAGTGTAGCTGAAATGCTCCTTGGAAGTGAGAATGGCTAGACTTCATTTCACCTACTTCGGTCATGTTGTCAGAAAGGGCCGTTCCCTGGAGAAGGATATCAGGCTTGGAAAGTGGAGAGTTAATGGAAAAGGGGAAGGCCCTCAACAAGACAGACTGACACAGGAGCTGCAATGAGGGGCTCAGGTACAGCAAGGCTTGTGAGGCTGACGCAGGACCGGGCAGTGTTTCGTTCCGTTGTATGTAGGGTTGCTATGACTCAGAACCGACTTGACAGCACTTACCAACAACAACAACAACAACAACTGAGAATAGGCAAATTCATAGAGGCAGAAAGTAGATTAGTGGTTACCAGGAGCCAGACGGGGTAACTAGGAGTACTGTTTAATGGGAGTCCCTGGGCTGTGCAAACTGTGAACACACTTAGCTGCTCACCAAAAGGCTGTAGGTTTGCGTCCACCCAGAGGCACTTTGAAAGAAAGGCCTGGCAATCTGCCTCTGAAAAATCAGAAAAGCCTACAAAGCACACAGTTCTACTCTGATCCAGTGGGGTCACCGGGAGTTGGAATCAACTTGACTCGGAATCAATGTGCTTATTGTTTAACGGGTATAGAGTTTCTGTTTGAGATGACAATAAAGATAGGGACACACATGATAGCAATGGTTATACAACACTGAATGTGTTTAATACTACTGAAACGTACACTTAAAAATGAATGAAATGGCAAATTTTATGTTATGTATATCTTATTGCAATAAAACAGTTTTTGTAATGAAAAAATTTTAAACAAGTTCACCCACATGAGGCATTCAGATCCACCTGTCCACCTGGCACACAGCAGATGTTGCAAACGTACTGAGATTAGGAATGTTGACACCAGGGCTGACCTCAAGATTTGGGGGACACTGTGGCAGCCTCCCACAGACATGCCTGTGGAAGGAGTCAGGAAGCCGGGGCTGCTGCAAGGGAGCAGGTGGCAAGCTCCAGGTTCCAGTGGGGAGCTGATGTGTAGAAGCTGTGCCCACAATGAAAGCACCTCATCCCATTGAACCCCACCCGTGAACAAGACACACTGAGAATGGAAAAGACTCCAAGGAAATGCTCGTGGTAGTGGTTATTTCTGGGAAGAGGATTTGGGGTGAAGTTCCCCCACCTTTTTTTTTTAGGTGCAATTCACCTAACATAAAGTCAACCATTATAAAGTGAAGAATTTAGGGGCATTTCATACAATCACAAGGTCCCCTGCATCAGTGATGCAAACGGTTTGCACTTGGCTGCTAACCGAAAGGCTGGAATTTCAAGTCCACCCACAGATGCCTTGGAAGAAAGTCCTGGTAATGTGCTTCCAAAAACCACCACACAAAAGCATCATTCCACATCCTACCTTGGTGAGTAGCAACTGGGGTGTTAAAAGCTTGAAAGCAGCCGTCTAGGATGCAACAAATGGGTCTCTCCTCATCCAGGGCTAAGAAGAATGAAGAAAACAAAAGACGCATGGAAACAATTAGTGCAAGGGACTAGTGCACCAGTGATCCTCAGCCTATATGGCCACGAGACCAGAAAAACTAGATGGTGCCCGGCTACCACTGTCAACCACTCAGAAAGGGATCAGTGCAGGAGATCCTGGGAGAACAATGTGGAACAAAATTCAAAATCATAAAAAAGACCAGGTTTACTGGTTTGCTAGAGCCTGGTGAGACCCTGAGTCTATGGCCCCCAGTTACCCTTCAGGTCTGGAATTGAACTTACTCCCTAAGCTTCCAGCCAAACAACAGACAGGCATAAGGGGGGTGAACTTTTATATCAGGTAGCTACAACTCCTTAGAAGGATCAATTGTGGGAGAACAGAAGGGCAGTGTTTGCACAGGGAGATAGCTCAAGGGGCAGGAATGCACAGGAAAGAAGGACACAGGGAAGAGGTAACTACAGGGAGGAAGTGGGAAGAGAGCTGTTACACTGTGGGGACTGCAGTCAATGTCATGAAACAAAATGTGTATGAACTGCTATATGGAGAATGAATTTGCTCTGTAAACTTTCACCCAAATCACAATGAAAAAAAAAAAAAAAAAAGCCACTGAAAACTCTATGCGATACAATTCTACACTGACAAACGTGGAGTCACCAGGAGCTGCAGTCAAGGTGACTGCAATGGGTTTTAATACATCACAAGGCACAAGAATAAGCCTGCCACCACCACCTCTATCTAGTTCCAGAACTTTCTTTTCCCCCCAAATAAAAGGAGACCATAGCCGTTAACAGTCATTCCCCACCGCCCAATGAGCACTGGTAAACAATGACCCACCTCCCTCCTCGTGGGATCTGCCTGCTTGGCACAGATCATGTAACAGGATCAGACACGTGGCCTTTTTATGCCTTTTTCCCTTCCTGATTACCTGAATTTTCTAAACCCCCCCCCCACTCGGTAATTAGAGATTTTAATATTTTCTATTTTAAAATATTTGTTTAATTTTTGGAAAAGACAAAGAACAAATGAAAACCCCATCTCTGCCCCACCCCCTGGCGAGGAGGCGACAACTACGTGGAAAGACCTCAGTCCCAGAGCCCTCAGACAGTGTTTGGACCTGGGGTCTGCTGGGTGGCTGGGGAGGAGCCCTGGGCCCTCCTCGTGGGGTTCTCAAACTCCCTGATGGTGGTCCCAGATGAGAGTAGCTGCAGACTCCCAAGCACCCTCATACCCCCTCTGTGATCACCTTGACTGTAGTCTGCCTTAGGTTGCTCGGACCTGCATAGTACCAACCCTGACTCTGACCCCTGGAATGGCCTTGACCAAGGGAGCCCTGCTTGCCAGACCTTAGTCTGCTGTCCTATGACAGCATGGGTGACAGACCCAAGCAGAAGGCATGATGAGTGTCTAGAAATGCACCCAGCCTGAGACCCAGCCTGAGAGATCTGGGTGGGACCCCCATGGCCCCAGGGCACAGGAGAGGGAGCCCCTGCCCCATGTGTAGCCTACTGTGTGACCCCAGGCTCACCCTCCACCCTCTCTGGGCTCTGCATCTAAGTAGTGGCAACTGTGTAGCGTCTGGCCTATCAGAGCCCCTACCCCAGCCACCCAGCTCCTGCCTGGCCTGCTAAATTTAACCTCTGGGGCTAATTTTAAACCCTAGCCAGAATCAGCCAGCATTCCCACGGCTGGGACGTGTTGCCCCCGCCCAGATGGGTCCCTGGAGGCCTGAAAGGGGGCCCTGGCCCAGAGGCCCCAGTGCCAAGATGACTCCGAAAATGCCCCCCATACCCAGGGTCCCACGGAGAGCAGGACTGGGCCAGGCTTGGCCTGAATTCTGGTCCTGGATGCTCAGGCCAACTACTGCCCCTTCTCAGTCTGTCTCCTATTCACAGACAAGGCTGCTGCAAGCCACGGCAGGCTTCAGATGATGGGGAGGCCCAGGAGCAGAGAGGGCAGCGGGATGGAGGGTGTTTCTGAACTGAGACAGGAAGTGAGTTCCAGGCACAGGGAACAGCATGTGCAAGGGCCCTGAGGGAGCAAAGGAATAAGCCACAGGGCTGCAATGAGGTCAGGGAAAGCTGCAGGAGGAATCACAGGGCTGGATGACAAGGGGCCTTCTGAGCTATGGGGAGGGCTGTGAGTTTTAGTCTAGGAGTGAGGGAGAGGCACAGGGGAGCTCTGAGCAGAAAAGGGGAGCGATGTGATTTATCATTAAAATACCATCTGTGCCTGCCCATGGGAAGCAGGGCTGTTGGGGGTTGAGGTGGAAACAGCAGAGGCTAGGGGGATACAGGACCACATCTTACTCATCACCTAGAAACCAAAGTCATCCACAACCTGGGCCTCTAAGCAATCTCTCCAACACATCCCTCTCTATCTCACATCTTCCATAGCTCCCCACTGCCCTCAGTAGAAAGTTCCAGCCTCCAGCCCAGCTGTAGAAGCCTTTTTTAATCCAGACCTTGCCCACTTCTCTCTCCTTTCAACAAACGTCTCTACCTCTTCTTTACCTGGCCAACTCCTATCCACCCTTCAAAAGCTGGTTCAAAAAATCCACTTTTCCAGGAATCCTTCTCTGCCCTCCCTCTGAATTCCCACAGTTCCTGCCCTTCTGCTCCAGCCCTAATCCCATGGGGCTTAGAGGTGTGTCAAGCTCAGTCTTTCCCAGACTGCGAGCCACTCAGGACCAGGCACGAGGGTGATCGGGAAGATTTGGTG